ACAGACAGACAGACAGACAGACAGACAGACAGACAGACAGACAGACAGACAGACACGCTCACACACTCACAAAAGCTCAAGAAAAATAAAGCTCAAAACTATATATAAAAACGAACATAACGATGGTACCAAAACTTACCAGTAACATTCCTAGATGAAGTTTGCACCTGAACACAAAGAGGTCTGTTAATGCAAGCTGCCGCAAGACATTTGGAGATCAACTGACGCCTCGCCATTCCGACACACACGGCCACAGTCTGCGAATACATTCACAAATGAAAATGACACCACTGAAATACATCTGGGTTTTTTAACGACCTTTTCAATTCATAATAATTTAAAATCTGTTAACTTCTCACGTGTCTTATGTTAAACAGGCGCACAGCGATGAGATAAGTAAGCTCTCTCTCTCTCTCTCTCTCTCTCTCTCTCTCTCTCTCTCTCTCTCTCTCACTAGTCTCACTACCTTCTCTGTCCGAATGTAACACACATTTTGTCACACCACAACCCAGCACTGGTGACAAAACAAACCCAACATGGCGAGACACGCGAGAGATCACTGTGGTGGCCTTCACTACAGCAGGAAGCTCGATGTGGATGACAGTAGTAGACAACAGCTTGTTGAAACGCTCCATAACGCAGTGTGAAAATGTTATAGGTTTAACGCCCCTATCAACACTGTTAGGTTATTTAAGAGGCGGGACCTCCAAGTTTAACGTCCATCTCCGAAAGGACGGAACCAAGTGGGAAATTCGTGTAAAGTGTCTTTCCCAAGGACACAACGTCGGACCGAGCTGAGGCTCGAACCCCCGAACCAGCAATCTCACGATTATGGGCCCGGTAGCCTAACCACTAGACTACCGACACCACCCTAACGCAGCGTGGATTCTTCCAATTCTTATTGTTAACGAATACAAATTTATTGCACTTGATAATAATTGCATTTATACAGCGGATTATATCCATATTCTACAGGATGGTCTGTGCACTTTACAACTATTACAGCAATGAAAGTATCTCAGTGATTCACCTTGGGTGAAACCCGTCAAACTCAAAAGCCGAATCAGACGAACCAGAGACCAATCGTTTTGTGATCACGTTCAAAACTCATGTCCACGCAGATCAGTCTAATAATAAGGACCTTCAAAACCTCTTTGTACATACACTAATCAAATACAGACGCCCAAAACCCATGTCCACACAGATCAGTCTAATAAAGACCTTCAAAACCCATTTGTACACACACCAATCAAATACAGACTCCCAAAACCCCTGTCCACACACACCAATCAAAAACAGACGCCCATAACCCATGTCAACACAGATCAATCTAATAAAGACCTTCAAAACCCATTTGTACACACACCAATCAAATACAGACGCCCAAAACCCATGTCCACACACACCAATCAAAAACAGACGTTCAAAACCCAATTGTACACAGACCAATCAAATACAGACGTTCAAAACCCATGTCCACACAGACCAATCAAATACATACGTTCAAAACCCATTTGTACACAGACAAATCGAATGCAGAGGTTCAAAACCCATGTCCACACTGATCAATCAAATAAAGACCTTCAAAGCCTATATCCACACAGGCCAATCAAATACAATGTATAGAGGTTCAAACCCATTTGTACACAGACCAATAAAATAGAGAAGTTCAAAACCCATTCCCGCACAGACTAACAAACTTTCAAAGCCCATTCCCACCCAGATAAGTCTAATACAGTTGTACAACGGTCACCAAACTTCTTTTTAAAAAAAAAAGAGGGCCAGATAACTGGGAGAATGCAGATCGTGGGCCAAATATTTTGTTCAATGGTGATACATTAAAACGAATACATAAAGAATAAAGACAACCAACCCATTGATTTAACAATACACAACATATATTCATATATATATATAAAAAAGATCAATCCACAAAACCGTGTTCAATTAGCACTATAGAGTTATATGAAATTATTGAATCATTGTGGTGACCAAGTTCTGAGCCCGTGACAAACACATCTTTCCCCTTCCCACTTATTGGTGGCATGGAACTGATCTCGACGCCGTAGTTTGACGACCCCTGATCTAACAGAATCCATGAAGGGTGTGGACAATAGCAAAAAACAAAACAACAACAACAAATCTTTGGGACTCTATCAGAATCAGACACCCCCCCCCCCCAAGGCTATACACGTCTACGGTGCAGCAAATGTGACGTCGTGAAAATGACAAAACAGCGTCCCCAAGACGCCGTGACTTCGATTTCGCGTTTCAGTCAGTTCCTGTTCCCACTACCTATAACAAACACGTGACGTTGAGCTTCGCGCACAGTCAGCAAAACGGCACACCACGAGGTGTTGGTATCGTCAGTCAGTTCAGTCAGTTCAGTCAGTCATCCGGGAGGGACAAACCACCACCTGAAGGTCCAAAGGGCGTGTGGGAAAAAAGTGTAACCTGTCATCGAAAGTCCAAGTCAATGTTATCAGCGGAAACATTCAGTTGTGGGCCAAGTGACAGCGAGACAAAAAAAAAAAAAAAAAAAAAAAACTTCATTAAAAAGGTGCATGTTTGTCGCAGCAGGTCAAAAACGAAATCCCTCCCTCGGACGTACATGGACTCACAATACGATAAATAATAAAAATGCACACGCACGCACACATACATCATTCTCTCTTACTTTCTTGGACACACACACACACACACACACACACACACACACACACACACACACACAAATTATGATATATGTATATTTTTTATACGTTCCGCACAGATTCTTGTTACTCCAGCGCGATTAGAACTGGCAAACCAAAAGGCCTACACAGTTACGCAACGAGTTGGACACGACATCACATACCGAGATGGTGAATAGTGTTAAAAACCAAAAACCAAAAACAACACCAAACAAACAAAACCCCTACACCTTGCTCATCCAAGAGTGTTGGCAATCGTGTCTCAGTTTCTCCACTCATGCTTCCCCTACGTCAACGATCTCCTCTATCGCCTGTTGGTCTGCTCACGCCTCGGCAGTTGTTGGGTGCTTTTTTAAAGAGATAATCTAAAGCAGTGCTTTCTTCATGCCAACCTGGGCGATAGCGACCACTAGAAAGCGGTTTTGGTAATTTAGGTGGGTGTTGGAATAGTGACAGGTATAGTGACAGCCTATTCAATTTTTTTTCGTAAGAGTTTTACGGCACTTGCAACACAATAAGGTCATATAAAGGCCGAAGATTAGAGGCGTTACAAGGGAGTAACAAACACAAAAAAGGAGGGGAGATGTTTGATAGGAAAGAAGAAGCAAACCACACCAGAGCACCTGCCAAAGGCCTAGATATCTATCCAATGCCTCGCTTGTAATACATTGTATATGAAGGTGGGCGACACGATTTTTTAAAACCACTTAATTAAAGTAAATTGGAAAAAGAAGGAGCTGCCTGTAAAACTAACGGCTGACATGCACTGATCTACATGTATTTCGTTATAAAATATCGTGGTTCTTCGTCCCTTTCCTCCTACTTTTACGTGTATCTTATTTCCCCGGAAGATCTGTTCTATTATTATTAACGTGCCGTCGAGCTACCTGCAGACATGATCTAGAGCATATCACACTAGTATGTGTTTTCTCTGTGATGTCTCTTGCCAGTTCTTGTTTGGCACGTTACTCGCACGCATGCGTTCTGGTGCGGTATGCTTGCTCGTTGCATGCCTGTTCATTGTATGCTTGCTCATTGTACTTCTCTCTCAAGGTTTCTGAAATCTTTACGTCGTGTTCCTGGCATAACGTAACCGTTTTCGTGTGGAACAACTGACTGTACTGACATTGACTTCTTCTTTCTTCAGGTGTCCGGGGGGGGTCGGGCTCTCGTGGTCCAGAGGTTAAGGTGTTCGCCTCTCATTCAAAGGTTCCGGGTTCGAATCCGGGTAGCAACGGAAAATTTTTCTTCTCTAAAATGGTCTCCTTTCACCTCCTTTCCTGCTCTCTAGCAATAGCAATGTTCTGTCGTCTGTTTTCGTCTCCACTTTCTGCCCCCCCCCCCAACCCCCTCACCTCCTTTGCCCTCTCCTCTGGGCTCCAGACTCTTTCTGCAATCGTTCTACTGCTTCTCCTTGGCTTCTTCTTACTGCTGTCTTTCAGCAACACCCCTGGTCTTATAATAGGAAAGACCTACACTTAGCTTTCTAGGACAAGGGCGAACAATCTAGGTGGTCCCGTGAGCAAGTTGCGCCCGTTTCTTTTTCTTGTTAAGTGTTTTTACGGCGCTCGCAACTGTATACGGTCATATGAGCGCGCGGGACACATTAAACATTTTCAGCTGGTAGGGAACTTTGAATTTTGCCCAGGTGGCGGCTGAAGCCTACTCTTATCGACTTTGGACCACCAAGGGATCTTTAACGTGCGCAACTTGTAGTCACAGCCGACTGAACGGGGATTTGTCAAGGCACGTTTGTGTCTACGGACGAATGTCTGTGACGTTTACAAACTGGGCGATAATAACGACCATACGTGCAATAAAATGATGATGATGATGATGATGATGATGATAATGAAGATGATGATGATGATGATGATGATGATGATGATGATG